TCTTAGAAACATTTGCTGTAGGACTATTTTATACACTCTTCCTCAGTTTTTGTGTAAGACACAAAGTTTCATAATTTATCTCAGGATAGGGTGACCCATCTTTGTATGATTTTAGTATTATATATTTGAAAAATGTATTTTCTTTCAAAATAATGATTTAACCATAATATTGAGTGCTACACATGTATGCCATTTTCCTCTTCCACCACTTCAAGTTTATTAAGAAATAATTTTACATTCTGTCGTTACTATTTTTACTTGGTGAAATAATGTACAGTAAGAAAATATATATATTAATAACAACAGTGGTTTGTTTTGCATAGAGCTTCATTGGACTGGTTGATAATGTACAAATTCCTGCGAGATATCTGATAATTGAAATTCAACAGTGTGAAATGATGATGGTTCATTTGGAATTTTTTGTTTATTATCAATTAAAACCCAAGTTTTATGTCCATAAATTTACTGATAAAAAAAAAGTTCATTGTAAACATTCATTGTTCTGAATGAAACTTAATTTATTTAGCTTTTTTTTTCAGTATTAGATAGTTTCACTTGTTGGAGATATTAAGTCAGGTTGTTACATATAATATACAAATCAAAGATCCTTTTCATAATCACTGGTTAAGGTGTGATAGAATCAAAACCTTTTACTTATTTACTTTTTGCTTCCTTATAGAATTATACTTTATTATTTGTGAGTCTTGGTTATACACAAAGATTAAGATAGACAAAAGAAAATAGTGATTGAACACTGAAAACTCACCATTTTCTGCTTATTAATCCAGAGTAAGCCCTATATACAAGATTATCCGGTTGACCCAAAGTTCAAAAATATTTTATAGACATTTGGATTTTTTTATCTAGTTATTGGACTTTTATTTTGCATAATAATGAAAGTATTACACTTGAATTGGGCTTTTTTCTAAATTTTGTTAAGGTATAAACAGTAAAGGTCAATGTTTTTTTATTGCTAAATTTAACTACATTATAGTTCTTGAATACTGGTTGTGTATTTAACTAAAGATGAACCCATGATAAAGGTGACAGAAAAGTCAGGATCATTTTATCTCATTATTTTAAATTGTAAGAGCTATTAGGTAAGGGTGCATACTTTTATTGTCATACTTATGGTAACCAAGCATGTGTTTTCCAGTTTTAGTACTTGGCTACACAAGACATGACTTGCCTTATTTGCCAACATTTTTGAAAATAACAGCGTGCATATAAATAGTTGTTCAGAAGGCATATGCCAGTTCTAGTTACACAACTACAAATTCTTAAAATTAAACACATGGTGCAACTTAAACTTTTACATACAAATATACATATGATGTGCTGATCCATAAAATAAAATGTTTAGATACTTTGCCTGTTTCCAAGAGTAATGTCTTCAACTATCAGGGAAAATATTTCTTAGAAATAGCATTTTACAACTTGGAAAACTGTGCTTTAATTAGAATCTTCTTAGGTTTAGTTGCTTAAATATAAAAGCTTATTTTAGCTATTTTGTATGATGAAAGGAATGACTATAAGCTCCAGAACAAGTTTATATTTATTTCATATATTTCATTTCTGCAACTTCTTCAGGAATGACCTATTGCTTGCATTGCTAGATCCAACAATGTGAAACAGACTATACACTTTTAAATTTGTTCTATAGTCCAGTAAAGAGTATGTTATATTTTAATGTAAGCAATATTATTGACTTTACCTTGTTCCATACTCTTTATTGTGGGCCCAGCATGGCCAGGTGGTTAGGGCACTCGACTCACAATCTGTGGGTCGGGGGTTCGAATCCCTGTCACACCAAACATGCTTGCGCTTTTAGCCGTGGGGGTGTTATAAAGTGAGGGTCAATTCCACTATTCATTGGTAAAAGAGTAGTCCAAGAGTTGGCAGTGGCTGGTGATGACTAGCTGCCTTCCCTCTAGTCTTACACTGCTAAACTAGGGATGGCTAGTGCAGATAGCCCTCATGTAGCTTTGCACGAAATCTATAACAAACAAACAAACTTTATTGTGAATTCCATAATGTGAATAATGTTATTTACATCAAAATATACTTTCCATTGATCTATAGAACAAATGTAAAAGTGTATAGTTTGTTATCCATTGTGAGTATAGCAATGTAAGTAGCAGGTCGCTTCTGAAGAGGTTGTAGAAATGAAATGTTGTGTGAAATAAATATAACGTTGTTCTGGAGTTTGGGGTTGTTTTTTCATAATGCTAAATGTCTAAACTACTCTACTCATCAGTTGGAAGTATGAGTTCTCATGTTAGCTACTTAACCAGGAATGTAATGTTGGCTAGCTTATCTAAATTTTCATGATATTTACTGATAATTAACCCATATTTTCTTTTATGGACCTTGGCTTTCATTTACTCCTCTTTTGTTTCTGGTTTTACTTATATCATAACTAACCTTTTTTTGCTTTACTGTGATTTTTTGCTTTTTGTTATCACTTGTGTATATTATTGATTGGATATTTGAGTAAAAAAAAAAGAACTGTTTGTATAAAGTACAAAGAATTTTCAACTATAAACTTGATACTTAAGAAAATTTGCTTAATTTATTATATTATTTTACTTTAATTAAAATGATATAAATAAAACTTTGGTGCCATAGAATCTGAAACAGTTAGTGTTGTATTAAACTTTTATCAAGGTGTGTTTACTGTGGATACCATGTATTGATATGCATCAAGGTGTGTTTACTGTGGATACCATGTATTGATGTGCATCAAGGTGTGTTTACTGTGGATACCATGTATTGATATGCATCAGTGGCTTTAAAATACTGATATTTTTTATATCATTGTCACAGAAACACATACCCTTGTATGCAGCTTGAAATGGTTGAATACTTTTAAAATATTTTTTGTACCAATTTTTAAAGGCATTACAAAGGATTTAACAACTTAAGAAATAGTTATTACTGTTGTAGTCTCTTAATAAAGGAGTATAATGAAACATTGATATTAAAATTCTGAAAGGAAAAAAAAAGACTTTCCTGATGTGTTCAAACTTATAAATGTATTGATGTAACTCATTTTCTTTCTCTTAACATTTATATGCATGATAAATATTAGTCCTTAAAAAATTACATGAAACAGTAAAAGAGCATATCAAAATGGTGACTAAATATCTTAAGTGCAAAATAGTGTTTTTAAACTGTCACTGTTTCATACACCATTGTTTGTAAAATAAGATTACTTGCATCTGTGTTTTTCAAAAGTACTATTATTTTCTTTGTGTACATTTTAATTGCTGCTATTACTTGCACTTGTATTATTAACGACCACTGGCTACGTTAATAAGTAATCTTAAATTGAAGTCAAGGACATTACTTTCATTACAAAATTCCTAGATAGTTTTTCTTCACAAAATTAGTTACAAATCTGTTTTGTAATCGTATAAGCTCTGCTCATTCCCCACAAACTTGGTAAAAATTTAATTGACACAAAATACTGTCAATACATGTAGCAGTCAGTCTTGAATTTCATTGAGAGTGCCATGAACTCATTTGTTTTATGTTCCTGATACTTCTATCATTAGAATAATATCAAATATGCTTATTCTTGATTCAAATATGTTTATCCTTAAACCTGACAGACTTATCATTGAAAATATTATTTAATGTATTAAACTGTAAATCTATTTCCAAACTCCTTGTTGCCGTAATTATCCTATCTGTTTGTTTACTACTGATATACCAAGATCCCATGTCATTAACCAAGCTGAGTTTAAACTATACCACTTTTAAGAAATATATTTACAGCTTTTTCAGACATCCTACTACCTGACCTTCTTAAATGGAGACATCCTGTAACATATAATTTACATTTACCCAGGAAATTATCCCATAGGTCCAACCAGCCTACCTGTAGCTGTTAACATATCCTTCATAATATTTCATAGAAGATCTAGCCTGAGAGCAGCACTCCCAAAAAAGCCATATGCACACAGCCATTTTTATCTCTATACCATCTTTCACTCCTACATGCACTACAGAAAGAGAATGTTTTTTGGTATTGGCAACTAAACTGTCAACACGCACTATAATGTCCTATATATTATCACATGGCAAGCAAATTAGACTTAACCTTTCTGTACTTTCCACTACAAATAACTGTATGCTTGATGAATCCCCTACTATGTAAACCTTTTCATCATATCTTTCCTCATTTTAACAGCCAAAGGTTCTTTTAGAAACTGGTGCCAGAGTACTAAATGAAGCAGTCTATATCACCTTGACATTTTATACTACTGCATGTTTTTGTAAATTCATTCTTCTCATTCTCACACCACATCAAGGCAACCTTTACCTTAATTCTAACCATTTATTGTCTTGCTTCCTTAATTTCTGTTCCATATTTACTGTGTTTACTGCTTAATATAGCACAATCCTTCCCAAAGCTATTTCCAATTTATCCTCTAGTAAACAAGCTTTGTAAGTGTAATGAACTGTTTTTCAGAGCCTTCTGAAAGTCAATCCTATAACTGTAAATTTGTTACCCATTTGATTTTGTTGCTTAGTGAATGTCACATACATGTTGGCATACATATGCTGCACAGTTTGTGTATAAATATTTTCTATGTTTATTGTTTGTTTGTAGTTTAAGCTCACAAAGCTACACAATGGGCTATCTGTGCTCTGCCCACCATGGTCTGTTTTTATTAAGAATACCAGATAAGGAAATTATTTAAGTGCATATTTCCAAAGATATGTAAAATGACAACATACTTTTTTTTTATGAGTTACAAGTAAATATTTCAGTCATTAATTCATATGTTCACAATATATTTTTTTTGTGTGTGTTACGAAAATGTTTTTATAGATTATCACTGTGTTGTACATTTGTTTCCCTAGTGGTTAGTTTTACAGCTAATAAAAGGTATGTGTGTATTTGTTACTACCATAAATTTTACAGTGAGGATTAATGTTTACATGTACAATTTTTATTGATTGAACTTAAATTTCAATATTTTCTCTTTCAGTATCTGCTTTACAAATTGTCATTATTGTGATAGCTGTAGTATTAATGCTGGGATTCATCACCTGTATCCTCAGTCACTACAAGATGGGTGCATGGTCATGGCAAGAAGGATGGGGCAGGCCACCTCTTAGTCCTTTAGAGCCCCAGAGCTTCCTTCAAGGTAGATCTCCACAGAACATGTCTCCAGTGGAGCATAATTATACACCTGCATCACATTCCTCAGTACGTTTTTGTTCTGTATATGTGCACAATTAAATAACTCGTATTTATTGTTGAATGTCACTAGTTTTCTGACACTTAATGAGAGCAAAGTGATGTAAGAGCCCAAAATGGGCCAATAATGAACATTTTTGAAACAGATATTTTTCACCTAAGATTCCTTTTCAAATGTAAGCCATTTTGTATTTAACACATCATAAACATTGTCATGTCATATAGTCACAATTTTTTTTAGAAATTTAAATGGTGTATAAACATTTTTCATTGAAACTCCATTGTTTTATAATTGTTGTGTTCCTAAGAAACAAAATAACATGATAGGTATAACTTTTCATCAGTTTAGTTAAAATTTGTCTGCTGAAAATACAGTTGTGATGAAAATCAAATAAAAATTGTATGAAATGGCCAATCATGGCGACATGTTCGTACATCATATAAATTATTTAAACCTTACAACATTGGTTATAATTTTTAAACAATTATAACAATATCCTATAGGTAATGATTTTTTTTTAACTAGACCAATTTTGAAACCATTAAATTACTATGGTATTTTTAGTGAGCTCTCCAGTAATGCATTTAGCTATATTACAGATTCAGAGTTCAAACTCAAGTTAAAATTATGCTTCTGTGGTATATAAGCATACCATGTATTTTGTATCCCCTTATTTTAATATATTAGGTCGTCCAGAAATTAATGTTGCATAATGTCCAAAAAATGTACATCATGTATACTAGTTAAATGAACCGCCTAAACGTCACGTTACTGTAATCTATATAACGTGTAATGGTTAGTATACTCTAATCCCTTATAGTGATGGCACACAACAAGAAACACAATCGCCATGTAATGCTGTTCGAATACACGAAGGGAAACAATGCCTCTGTAGCCACAAAGAAAATCAAAGAAGTTTCATGGAAATATTTTAAACGTTCGTAAGTATTAATGATGGTTCAGAAAATTTCATTCAGGTGACTTTAGCCTTAAAAACTGTGATGGAAGGAGCCGACATGCTGGAATTGGTATTGATGGTCTGAAAACGCTTGTTGAGTCTAACCCAAGGCAACACACTCGTGAAATGGTCCTGAAATTGCATGTCTCTCATGAAAAAATACCTAAACATCTTAAGGAATGTGGGAAAACTCCATAAAGAAGGTGTTTGGGTGTCTGACGAACTCTCCAATGATGTTTCCAACTTGTGAACATTGCTTCGTCTCTTCTGGCGCGTAATGCGTGTGAACCATTTTTGGACAGAATTTTCTCCAGAGATGAAAAATGGATTCTCTATGTGAATATTAAATGCCAAAAACAATGGCTCAGTCCTAAACAAAAACCACTTGCAACTCCAAAACCTGGACTCTTCTTTTCCATGACAATGCAGTCCACATGTGGCACGTTTGACACAACACAAGATTATGGAGTTGTATTGGAAAGTTCTCCCCACCCACCATATTCTCCAGATATGGCACCATCAGATTACCATCTTTTTAGATTGCTGCAACACCATCTTAATAGGGAAAGGTATGCAAATGTTGAAGGGGCTAAAGAGGACATCAACATATTTTTACTTCAAAGCCAAATGATTTTTTTAATCAGGGCATTAACAACCTGATTATTAGACTGGAAAAGCATCATAGATAAGAGACTATTTCATTTAATGTTTTGTTTTGGTATATAAGTTGTTCGGGGTTTTTCATCTAATAAAAAGCGACATTAATTTCTTGATGACCTAATAGTATTTTTTTTATTTTGTCAGTTATTCTGATATGTGCAGTTTTCACATAACACTTGGTCAAGAAAGTCATTAAGTTTATTTTGTTCTTTCTCATTCTCTTGAGATAACATCTGGACTTCTAGAGGTATGGCTGTAAAGGTGCATCTTTTATATAAAAGTATACAGCAGTTTCCTTTTGTAGGTCAGGTGATATCTTGATGCGACATAGGTGGTGCTCACATCTTGAGAGGGACAAAGTTATAAAAATTGGTACATAGTACTAAGATATCTCAGTTAGCTCCCTCTCTCTCACTCAAGCTATCAGTTTGGTGCATGAAGTTTGACTTCTCTGAATAGTAATACTCCCCTAAAGTTTAACCTGTAATGTTAACTTATTCCTTATAAATATCTTAATAAGTAATTAGGAAAATTTAAGAGTCAACTGTCCGATAAAGTAGCTCTCCTTCATCCAATACATACACATTATTTTGATTGTGCTTGCAAGTGTGGATAAAGATTGTTTCATTGTGTCCAGTTTCCTTTTTCTTAAAGTCAAAGAATACTGAATTACTTTGTAATGTATTTCCTGACTTATTCTGTGTACCTGTCTCATTCACTCTTTGGGAAACGACTACAGAATAGGTAAAAAGGAGAAAACTTTGGTGCTATGACCACGGGATATTTTTTGTTGTGTTTTCTGCTAAAACGCGTATTGCCTTTTACTACCACTTCAAGTTTAAAAAGGCTTAATTGTCGTGGAAATGGCATTTTACACAACTCAAAGGACTTACAATGAAGAGGAAGAGTCAGTCATTGAAGGGAATACTTGTTTGAGAAAGTGAAAGATGTTGGGCCTTCCACTGATGCTGTGATGGCCCATGACTTCCATCTCATTGTAATTGGTGAATCATGAAGATGAGCCACCAATACACGGTGCATTCAGAATGGCTATTAAAGTTCTCCCCTGAGGATTGACCTCAGTGCAATGGAAGCATGGATAACTAAAGGTCGTAGTGGTGGTGTGGCATCTAGCAAGTCTGAGACAGAGTGGGGGTGATCTGTAATAGACTCCTAGACCTATGTTATCCAGAATAACCCAATTCTGAAACGAACTTACCTCCTTTCACACAAAGGGCCAATTCTAAGCATTGCTAAAATAATTTTAGTAATCAGCACACCAGTTTTTATACCATGCCAGTTTCGCGCCATTTCTGAACATGTACATATTCTTTGTGTACTCTCCACCAATAGTATTGCATCACCTATAATGGCGCAACTAGCTTCATCTGCTATTCCTGTTCAATCCCCATTTTCTCGATTGACATGACACTGTTTAGATGTGTGTTTAATCTTTCCGAGTGTGATTACAGTTTTTGATTGTGCTTTGTTACCTTTCTAGTCGAAGGTTAATCTCACAATTTTTTAATTTTGTGTTTGTTTTCAATTGTTTCTACATTTTGCATTCTTGTTTCCGAATTCTACGTTTTTAATATGAACTTAAGATTTAATGTGGTGGACAATGATATTCGTGCCATAGACGACAACACACATGGCACGACTTCCTAGGACACAGGATCGACTTTATCTGCTGAAGAAGTTCAAGCCTTGGTTCACAGGGAGTTATAGTTTTATGTTCAGCCGGCGATTTCTTCTCCTCATCCACCTGACCATGTTTCTGAGGAGGCCTACCATCACGAGGAAAAAAATTTGGACTAAAGTTTTCTGGCACAATCCTTTTTTGGTCCGTCACAGTCTACACCCGTTCAGGATATTTCACCTCCCACCCTCTTCTTCCAACTTGTCAATCAGGAATGTCATGTTTTAGATGTTTCCCCTATAGCCTATGATTCCTCCCCTGCCTTGTTGGAAGGAAGTTCACCATCTGATTGTTATGTTTTTCTTCCTTCTCCCAACGTTAGTGTTCTTTCTTAGAGATTTTCTGATCAACTACAGTTGGGTATAGATAGGCATGCCCCTTCCCCTTGTTTGTTGAATCAATATGCTTCGGCTTATCATCGTGCTTCGGGATTCTCAGCATTTAGATCTTTTACTTACCCTGTGGGACTCGAATCTTAGGGCTTCAGCCCACTTCAATTAGACATAGTTTTCCAAGATTTGCCTTTTCCTGACCTCCTTTTTACACTACCTTTCCTCCTTCCAATTAACGTCTGAGGCCATTCCTCAATCTCTTTTCAGAAGAGCTCAGGACCCTCATTTGGGCCACTATGGCTCGTTTGTTGGTCTCTGCCCTTTCCCTCAATACCTGGCTACTTTGCTGCTGGAACTTGTTTGGGAGGGATCCTTTACTGGATCTTCCCTATGAGATATCTTTTCTACATGATTCTGTCTTTGGGAGTTGTCCAGATTCACTAGAACCATGGATTGATGTAACTAGGTTATATTTCTCCTTATCCTCCCTAGCCACACATTTGTCTTGTCCTCCCATTACCTCTTAGGATTCTCCTATCCTGGTTTCCTGCCCTCCTGTCTCTTACTTCAATGGGTGTTTTCCCCGGGACTCTGGATGACCAAATTTGACGTGACAGATGCCTTTCTTCACACTCCCATTGTCCTAGAGTCATGTTGTTTTCTTTGGTTCATCCACAAAGGTCAAGTGTTCCTGTTCAGGGCAGTGCCATTTGGTCCCTTCAGCCTTTTATGTGTTTTGTCATGTGATATGCTCATTTGCTGATTCTTTGTAATCAACATTATATGAACGACTGGTTCCTGCTCACATATTCTCATTAGCAATCAGTGACTCACACAGGTTTGCTTCTACAGGAAGTGGCACTGGTGGATTTTCTGATAAAGTTGGAAAAGTCTGTTCTTTTTCCCCACTTAATACCTGGTTTATTTGTTGTTTTTTCAATTCAAAACTTAGTTGGGTCCAGCCCTCCTCTTCATCTTGGGAATATGTAATGGGCAGTCACAAAGGCTCTTACCTCTCCTCTCACACCTTGAATGGCTCTATCTCATTTGGGGATGTGGGCTTCCTTGGAAGCTCTCATGCCCATGGGTTGAGCTCATATATATTCACTTCAGTGGACACTTCTCGACCAGTGGAACTTTTCCGGGATCCTTTGACCATCCTGCTACCCCTTCTTCTGTGATCAGGACAAACTTAGCTTTGTGGATCGACAGGGATCAGACCACAGTAGAATTTCCCACTCTTCCACCTCATCCAGAGTTACATCTGTTCATGGATGCATCTTTGATGGAGTGCTTTCTTCAACTCTCAAGAGATTTCTGGACTGTGGTTTGTAGTGGAGTCTGCACTCCATATCAACATTTCCTTAGAGGTGGGTGGTTGTGGTCCACTCCGACAATACCACGGTCCTCAATTATATCGCCAAGCAAGATGGAACCAAATACAGATCTCTGTATTTTTGGACTCTTGGATCAATTTATGGGCCAACAGTCACAACATGGTGGTGTTAGCTTGCCATGTTCCTGGAGCCATGAAGTCGGTTGCAGATTGTTTATCTCATCCCAGCCAGGTTCTCCTCACAGGATGGTCCCTTCATCCATAGGTGCTTTGTATGGGTGTGTTCGCAACTGGGGGGGGGGGGGCACAGATTATCGATACCTTTGCCACACATTGTAACACCAAACTTTCTTGCTTTTGGTTTCCCATTCCCCACCCATCAGCTATGGGTGTAAACATGTTCATTCAGGATCGGACAGGTCTTCACATCTATGCTTACACTCCAATCTGACTCCTATCTATCCCTCATCCAGATCACTCCTTGTCTTATTCTACTTGTTATTTCGTATTGGCCTGCACAGCTGTGGTTCCCTCTGCTTTGGCCTTTTCTTGTGCAATGTTCCCTAGCCATTAACTCTGTCTCAGTCTCTCCTTCATCAACATCAATTGGACATAGTTCACCCCAATGTCACCAAACTCTGTCTTCATGCTTGGCTTTTGTCTAGTCTCTTGCCTCAATCCAGGGACTGACTCCTTGTGTAGCCTCTTTCCTTTCCTGAACATTCAGACCTTCTTCCTTCACCGTTTACCAATGGCATTGGTTTCTTTGCTGTGGCTTCCAACCCTCCTGTCCTTCTGTTCCTCGGCTTTCCCAGTTCTTCACCTGTTTTTTTACCAAGGCTTGTCTGTTTCCACTGTGTCTAGTTATCAGGTGGCCCTATTGAACACTTTCCATTTTTCCTGGTTCTGTGATGTTTTCTTCTGCCCTGTAATTTCCCTCCTTTTCCATTCCTTCTATGTTGCTCATTCTCCACACCCATTTGTTGTACCATATAGGAATCTTATTGTGTTCCTTTATGCCCTTTCTCATTCTCCCTTTGAACCACTTGCTACATGCTCCTTGTACCATCTTTACTTTGAGACCTATTTCCTTCTTCTCCTTGCCTGTGTGCCATTAATGTTTCTTGCACTTTTTACCATTCCTCTTGTGTGATCCCCTACCCTGACCAGTCCTTCCTGCCTAAGAACCATATGGCCCGGGAAGGTGATTTGTCTTTCTCACCCATCTTTTTACCTTTGGTTTCCCATATGTATTCCTATTCTGATCCAGATAGGCTTCTTTGTCTGGTTCATTTCTTGAGGTGTTATGTGGCTTGTACTGTCTCCTTTTGGGGGTTCACATTCCTGACTATTTATTCCTTGAAATCCCTCTGTTTCCCATGGTACGTCTCCAGTAACTCTCACTGGTTGGGTTCATCAACTTGTCAGGATGGCAGATTCTGACTTATCCATGGAAGGTTGCCATCTCCACAATGTCTCTTTACATCAAATGTGTTACATTACCATGTTTTTAGCTGCTCGCGTTTGCTTCCCTTAGAAGAAATCGTCCAGACTGGTATGTGGACAACTCCCAATGCCTTCTTCACACATTATCTGCACGATCTGGCTGTTTCTTCCTATATTGGATATTGTCTTTCTCCCATGGCAATTCTAAACATGCCTGTTCACCTTAAACTGCTATTTTTTTTTCTTTTATGTTTTCTTTTCAGCTTTTCTAAGCTTGTTTACGGATCCCACCTCGTGGCGGGTTTTGTCTGGTCAGTTATGCTTTGTCTCAAACCTGCACTTAAACACAGTAACTATATAACACTCACAATTGAGATGCAATGTTTCAGTAAGACCACTGAGTGCTTTCCTGGTGGTGTATTTGTATATCTGTTTATAATAATTATATCTTTAGTGGACCATCACTAGTGGACTTTATGAGTAAAGCAAAAAGGGATTTTTGCCCATACCTGCTGACCCTTTGACTCCTCATCCAATTCGGTCTGAATTTCAAAATAAGGAAATGCACTCACCTATTGCACTGTCTCTTGTGTGACGTTTTTCTGGACTCCTAACCACCTTTTTACCCCCTCCATTTTTCTTAAAGTGGAGCATGGGAGTCCATACCACTTTCAGTTCCCAGTTGCTGGGTGGTAGACTGTGGAGGCTTCCTCCTGAGTGTTACTATACTTATGCTTGTTCCCTGCTGGTGCTTTCCCAGGATGTTTTGGGCCTGGGTGGACTGCATTGAATAAAACCAATGATCAAATATTATTTGGGGCCAGCCTATGTGGGATTCTCCTCATAATTCTGGGTTCAGGATGATAACACCCTGTTTCTACAGTTGTGTGCAGCAGATGCCTCTCTTCTCGTTAATTCCAGTTGCAGAAGGTTCTTTCCTGCTTCTGTGGTTGGGTTTGAGAGACTTCGTCTGCCTCATAATACCAGCAAAAGGACATCCAAACACTGTTCCTACAGTTGGGCAAATACTGCTTGTCTTCCTTGTAATTCCAGATACAGGATGTCTCTTTCTTGCATTTACGGTTGAGTGAGGTATGATTTTGCTTGTAATACCAATTACAACCTTCCCTGTTCTTACAGTTGGGTTGAGGCAACACCAAGACCTCATGACCAGGTTTGATTTGGCATACTTCTTGCTCCCATGGTAGTTTTGAGAGTTTATCCGGTTACGACCATTTGCTCACTTCCTCTTCATAATTCCAGTTGCTTGACATGCAGCACTCTGTGTACTTATGGTTGGGGTTGTTCAGTATTGATAGCACAGTCCACATGCCCTAGCCACCTGTTGTTATTAATTTTTTTTTAATCTTGTTATATGTTGATACAGTTTGGACTTTCTTAATGCTCTTACAATTGTGCAAGCATTACATTTTCTACCCATTTGATGTTACTTTCCTAATTCCTGGGCAAAGAACATACCTATTCCAGAAGTATTGCAGTACCACACAGGTGTGTTCATTTTATCTTCAAGCACACCCATTCATTCTAGGCAGTTGCTTTCTGCTTGGTTTGTTCTTTTTGCACCTACACTGGTCCTCCACCTTTTCAATGTGGAATTCTGTCCTTTTGTATGAACAGGTCTGTCCATTTTGGAAGTTAACATTTTCTTACACTGAAAATGTATTTCCAATATATAGTTATCTCCTCACACACTTCCTCTCCACTAAAACCGGTGCTTTTATTCTAGTACCTGCCAATGCTTGAAAGTGAGAATTGAGTGGGAATAGCAGAGGGAGCCAGTTGTGCCATTATAGGTGGTGCAATATTATTGGTGGAGAGTAGTCACATAATAGGTACGTGTTCAGAAATGGCATGAAACTGGTGTGCCGATTACTAAAATTCTTTTAGCAATGCTTAGAGGGCAGTCAATAACTGAGATAGCCTTTTGTGTGAAAGGAGGTAAGTACTTATCAGAAATACATTTTCAGTGCAATGTAAGAAAATTGTAACTCCGGCTCTGATTGAAGCTACCCGAGAACAGTGAGAAAAGACTGGAAGTGCTGTTGGTGCACAATGTTCAGTCAACAGGAGCTACCTCACTGACAGGTGAGATAGTATTAGAGGTAGGTCTTCCTGAATTACATTTTACATTTTTGAGATTAAAATTAATGTAAAACAGTATCTACTATTTAGCTCTTAAAGATTTCCTACTCATCTCCCCACAGCAGGATGATGTGTGATTTTCATTATGACTGCAATGTAGAATTATGGTGGGAAAGCGAAATTTGTGTAATATCTCTTGACATGAGCACAGTAAGTTATGTGAGGGGGTGGAGAATTATTTCATATTAATGCAAAATATTTATTTTATTTAAATCTTGTTTATTTCATCAGTAAATAGTAGTAAGTTATATTAATACTTTTGTAACATTTGAATGTTCAGTAAAGTAAAAAAAAAAGAAAAAGTAAAGATAACATTTATTTTTATTTTTTCTGAATTCTTTCTCTCAGGTGCTGTATACCCCTGACAGTCTAGAAAAACATAGAAAGATGGATCTTGCCTCTAAGCAAGATCAACAGATAAGACAGCAAACGGTGCAGATGGACTTTACTTTAGGTCTACCAGCTACAATATCTTTACCTGATGGTGAAAAGTTCCCGCACATTGGTTCAAAGTCTGTCCATGTGCAGGATTCCATTCAAGACAATGAAATACTTAGAAGCTGGATAAAACCACCACCTAACAAAACAGTATCAAAAAACGAAAATCCTCCTCCATATCAGCCAAACTCTTTTTGTCTCTTATCAAAGCCAGTAGTCTTGCAGACTCCAAATATTAGTTCCCTAGTCGTACATTCAAACAGTGGTCATTTGAATGTTAATGCTGATATTCCCAGTAATCATTGTAATTACTTACAAGAATCTTGTAATGTTATGCTCCTTTCTCATATTGAGATATCCAATATTGTGTCTACTAGAGACACCTCAGGCAGTGGTCAGGATGATAGGTCAATTTCTGAGAGAGAACAGTCAGTTTTAAATGCAGTAGACTCACCTCCATTCTATTGTGATTTTACTGACAATCAAGACCATTTTACTGATAGTACCAATGGAGTCTAACTGCTGTCTGGTTCAGTGATTAGGAAATTTTTCTATGGAAGAAATGTGATATGTAACTTTAAATACCACTTTTGAAGAGTAGTGCTTAATGGAATTCAAGGAGAACTGCTCCTGAAGGACCAGAATCAGATCTGGTGTATTGCTAATGACTACATCTAGTGATGGCCTGTTCTCAGAGTGCCTCAGATAAAGTTGTGAATTATTTGTTATTCACTTTCTGTTTCTTTTGCTACCAGCTTTTTATAACCAGTATATTGTATGTCTGAGACATACTAATATGTATAGATATATTAGTAGTTTTGTTTTATCTTATGAATTTAACATCCTACAACTTCAGTTTATAACACATCATTCTGTTTCTGTTAACTTGTGGTGTCTTAAACATTGAGTCGTAAATTATGTGCTTTCAAGTATAAAAGTAAATGTAGATATATGTCAAGTTTGTTATTAAGAAATTGAACAAAGTGAGTTCTGTTATGACAAGAAGTGTGGATTAAAAGATGTGTACAAAGACCTGCATTATCGTAAGGTACTGCAGGAATTGGTGCTATACTTTGTTAAAGAATCTGAAGTTTACTTGAGAAAGAATAACTTAGGCCAGAAGCTTAACTAGTACTTGGTGTATAGTACTGAATTGTGTTGTTGTTGTTGTTGTTATTTTCAAAAACAAAGTGCCCTTTCCATGCTCATATCTTATTGCTTTATACACTTTGAAGAGCTGCTTTTGTCTTCTTTTTTTTCTGGACTTTTGTTTTAAAAGCATCATGAACTTTTTCTATTGTTGAAGTTGTATTCCAAGATGAGGATTATTATCTTATTACCACATTCACCAGCTTTTTCTTTTTCATACGTATTTTACAAACAATGCATTGGCTGTTATGAAGAATAAAGTTTTCATATACAGGATAGATTTATTCTGCTAGGTTTTTTGTTATTATCTGTAGCTAGTTAACTTTGTTGTAATGTAATTTGACAGGGTATTAAAATAAGGTGGAATCTCTAATTTGAAAAAATTCCAACCTAAAAATGTGTAGTAGTTTTTACTTATACATGTATTTCTGGTCAACAATAAAAATCCTGTATGTTGTATTTTAGTGGAACATGTGTCATCATACTGTGCCAAGTATGTAAAAAACAAGAAGAAGAAAAAATGTTTTGTTGTGATACTGTTTTGTGTATTTCATATACTGCTTTGGATCAGGGTTGTACATTTTGCCTATTGAATACAGTTGTGATTTATCAGCAGTTTGAGTTTGTACTTTTAGAAATTTTCAGTCCATTAATAAGTTTTAAAAATGTGTTCAGTTCTTAGTTATACCAAATGGTGACCTAACTTTTGGACTTCATCTTAAATGTTTCAACTGACATGACACTGACTAACTTTAAACTAAAATAAAATTCAATAAGTTGCATTTTTATTAATTGCTCTAAAATACATTCAGTAATTGAACCTTTTTCATGCATAAAATTAGACTTGTAATTAGTGGCTTAGAAAAATTAACTAATTGGCTCATCTCTTTGGTTTATAATTTGTTTTTAGTTATTCTTTGAGAATAGATATTTTGGAAAGTTGTTGTGAAACTGAAACTCAATTAAACCTAATTAAAACTATCTGCTGTCAAAAATGTTTTCAAATGTGAAAAACTTTAATGTATCAATATAGAAAAGATCATCCTTGTTAAAATAAATATTCTTTTGTTTAATTTTTATAATATTTCAATATCTAAAGCGAGCATAGAATTTTAAGCAAAACTTTCTACACTACACATCTTTCTAAATATCCATTACATGTATAATAATGTGAAGAACAGTCTCGTGTTAAATTTTTTTTGATTGATTCGTACATTGTTTGAGCCTATGATGATTTAAAATATTTTGATTTTTGAGAAGTAAAAGATTTTGCTACATTTTCTGATTTCTTATGACAAGTAAATAGTTTTTACTTTGAAAGTTAAAAAGAAAATGTTTTAATTAAAGATCACACAAGTTAATGCAGAAAATTGAAAACCTAATTTTTTTTTATGAAAAACTTTAATGACTGAATACTAATTAAAATAGATAAAATTGTATTTTACATTTGTAGATAAAACAGTGGTAAGTAATACAAATGACTATGTATTATTATAAGTCACATTTTTATTGTTTTACTATGTATAGCCTTTAACAATTATTTGAAAAGTATCAGTCTGAGTTTATTTATATTTATTACATCTTGGGGTTGAAATGTCATAAGTTCATCTGTGAAACATGATTACTTAAAAATATAATTAGTACATAGTTTTAACAAATATATTTATATATAGGATATTGTGTTATATAATATTAATTGTTATGATATAACCATATTACTATTTCATGATTTCCTTACAAAATTTAATAAATAATTGTAAGTCTGTGATACACTTCTGTGCTTTGGTTTTTGTACCTATCATAACATAGTATGGTACTCATACTCATAGAGAAAGACTTTATAAGTGGACATTCATGGAAAATGTGTAATCCTGGGTAGCTCAGTGGTTAGAGCACAGGCCTTGTTAGAAAGAGGCCTCAAGTTCAAGTCTTGGTTCCAAGTCTTTTCTTTGTCATATGCTGAGAATATTGAATAACATATGATACAGGCTGATACCCAGGCCATGCTCTTGTCATCTGCTTGATGGGTTTTGGTTTATGCAAATGACAATCATTGTGAAGCACATAACAGAAATTTCTTTTAATGATGATGTAGGGAGATGTGGGAAAACTGCTATACTGTCTAATTCTAATTTACCTTTAGGAAAATATACTGGTTATGGTATTAGTTTTATTAATCTTAAAACATATTATTTACAAAGACCATATATTTTTATAATATACCGTGAACAACCTATATTTTGAAATTAATAGTACAAGCATTTCTCCTTGGAGAAACAGCTCACTGGCAGTGCCCATTAGGGTGGTTAACTTATTCTAGAACATGAACCATTACCATTTTTTTCTAAAATCACTTTCTTGCATTAAACAGTGTTGCCTATTGTCATAATAGATAAATGTTAAATATTTAATATATCTAATGTGAACAAAGTAAATCATATCAGAATTTTTACTGTTTGTTACTTATTATTTCCCTTTTATTGTGTTATTGTGAAATAGTAAAAATGAAAACAACTGAGAAACATAGATGAAGAGAGAGCAAGCAAAGCATAGTAAAAATGAACATAAGCACTACTACATACAAGTTTGAAGTGAATACTTGAAACTAGTGTGATTAATATTGGGTGTTTTTTATCCCCCATATTTCATGCAAGGAAAGTTTTATTGAGTGTTTGTTGATTAATTGCTAACTTCAGTGATGTGCTCATTTTGAGACACAGAATCCTAATGTAAAAGAAGTTTGCCAACAATTTTAATTTATGGTGATAAAAAGTTTAGGTAAATGTGTAAGTACAGTCATTTGCAGAACTTATCAACCCAAATGTAAACTACAGTTTTATATATTATAATTATGATACTGTTTATATATATATAGTTACATAGATATTTTTTAACTGTTTCTAAATAGTATGGATTGAATGGTGGCTCTATAATTACTTGTGATACATACACACACACACACACACATTTAATAATCACAACAAGTAACTATTATAAGTTAATTTTCTTTTGGTACTGTTACGTCTCCGTTTGCTAATTGATTTTCCGTAAATTCGTTCCGACGAAACTTTAGCGACACAAGTCCTTTCTTAATTAAACTGGTTTATTCTTTCCGAATATAACTTTACGATACACTTAATTTCAACAATCGCGCTAAAACAAACGCTGTAACAACGAACGTGCTCAACTTCAATAATACTTTCTCACTGCAGATCAATTACTCACTACCTACACATACATTATCCCGTCACGTTGTCACCCTATATATATATATATATACCAGACTACCCTATATCTAGTAATTTCCCGACTATTCCCGAAGGTTCGAGAGAACGAGTCACGTGACCTCGCTGACGCAACACAGAACTTAGTATTGTTCGTCCCGAACAATAGCCATATACAATAAACCAATAACAATTAACAATAACTTAATTAAAATGTACAGAATTACAAACACAAAGTTACAATTCAAAAAAGTATCTTAATTTTACGGGACGTATCTTCTTCCATACTGGTCTCCGTCTTGTTGGCTTCTGCTTCACGTGGGGTTCATCTGCTTCATCAAGAAACGTCCTATCATCGGAAACAGTCACATCAGTGGTAGTAACTTCATCAAGAGCTACATCGTTTCCCTTCTCAAAACTGAGTAGAGTTTCTTCTTCAGGTGGCACGTCTTCAGAAGCCTCATTTGTTCTGTTGTCTACTTCATCCTAACTGAAATGTCTGGACCGTGATAATGCCAAAGCCTGTTGGCATGCACCACTTTTGGTTTACTTCGCCGTCCACATTTTACCCGGAAAGTCACGTCTGAGAGACGATCCACTATGTTATATGGGCCTTCCCATGGAGAAGACAACTTAGGAGACTTCCCTTTGGTCTTCCTAGGATTATACAACCACACCTTGTCTCTTGGTTCAAGGCTGACTTCAGTAGATCTCTTATCAAAAGATAGCTTCATGGAATCAGCAGACGTTTTCAAGTTTGAATGCACTTGATGGTGAATATCATCCATGCTTTCCGATAGCACTTTCACAAACTCTGACACATTCTCAGGCAACTCTTCATAAGGTGGGCATCCCTTATGCTTGGGCCCCCTTTTAGCACTGCATGTCCTGCACCATTCTTCCACATCTCGCCTCATACCTATCCAGTAAAATCTTTGTCGTAGATGACTCAATATCTTCCTAATTCCGAGATGTCCTCCTGTTAAATTATCATGGGATTGACGCAGCACAACTTCCCTTAACTTCCTCGGTATAACTGTTTGCCAAGTCGTCAATTTCCCATTTGTAGTTACCCATCTCCGGAGAAGAATACCAT